ATAGTTCATAGCGAACGTGAACGGATGCTTAAGTGTCGAAAAATTGGACAGGAGCGAGCTCAAACAAGCGCACGCGGCGGTTTGCGCCGACCCTCCTTTTCGCCGGATCCTCCTTTTCGACCCTACTTATCGCTAACTACATATCCTCCTGGAGCACGACGCCATACCACCAATACCCATTCTGTTATTCCCCGCGTTCTCCTTCTGCGCTCGGCTCGGGCGCCGCGGGTGAAGGTTTCGGCACGGACGGGTGCCTCCCCGCGGCGGGAGACCTCATCTCCATCAGAGTGAGCAGGGGGAGCCTTTTGCTTCGTGACGGACCACTCCGACGCGGTGCTCGCCGTTTAGCGGATTGGCAACGCAGCGCCGAGCGCGGAGCCGAGCCACGCAACAGCGACAGCGACTATGACCCGCTCCTCTGTCTCTCTTTGACTCGCTTTAACTCTCTCTGCCTTTCTCTGTGTCTCTTCGTCTCTCTCAGCCTTGTGGGTAGGCAACAGCAACGCACGCGTGCACCGTGGTTGCCTACATTACCCGTCGTCGTGCCGGGCCGTCTGGACGCTGACAACTTTGCACGCTCTCTTAAAAAATATTAGACATATCGCACTGGAAAAATAGGCTTAATGTGGCCGTGGTGATCAATAATTGATTGCGCTCCCTCCATCGTCATGGCTCCAGGGCTTTGCTGGAGCCCTGCTGGAGCCTTTGCTTGGAGAACGCGCAGCCACCCATTAGTGCTCCTCGCCCCTGTAGCGCCCTGGAGCCCTGGAGCAGCGTGGAGCGAGCGCGCCACCTCGTTACCTGGACTCACAGGAAATGTCACGGGAACATGGAACACAGGGCGGGGCGAGGTGAGGCGGGGCGGGGCGGGGCGAGGTTGAGGCCCTGTGATGTTGATTGGGGCTCGCCGACGGTTCGAAAGGGGTTGTTTGTGAGCCGGGTCATAGCCATTCAGGCATAATGCCATGAAGGTGATATTGTTGCAATTTCAAAGCTATATTGCAGACGTTCCGAGCAGCGAGACTTATGGTGTCATATCATCGTAGTACACCGGGGGTGGTTCAGAGGAGACGCTTGCGTGCCGCGGCGGGTTAGTTTGCTCATACTCGTCATCACCTGCACCTTGTCTGAATCACCAAGTCCGTGCATGATTTGTGCAAAATCCAATAAGTGCCCCGCCCCCTTCACTTTTCGGCCTCGACAAAATTGACGAGTTTTTGCCGTGTCAACCGGAAATGGCTTCATTTTGTGAAACAATATAGATTTCCTGCAGTCACTGTTGCTGGGCGGGAGGCGGGAGTAAAGGGGGATGAGGAAAGCAATAAGCAATCAGCGACGCTGAGCGGGCCGGGCCCAGGCTGCGGGAGCCTCAGCCGAGTTCCCTGCTATCTGGAAATGTCATGGCACAGCACCGCGAGGAGCAGCAGCGGCGGCTTGCTGCGGCGAGGAGTGGCGTGGCGTGGAGGAACGCAGAAAGCCACGCCACGCCGCCCCCTCCCCCGAGGGGGCTTATGACGACGGCGTGGCCTGCCTCCTCCCGCCGCCTCTCGCGCGCTACTTGCTGCCGCCGCCGCCACTGCTGCTTTCTCTGATTATTCACAGAGTCGCGTCGTCGTCGTTATTGCGATGGAATTACGTCAAGCATTGAATGGCAGCCGGCTGGGAGGCCCCGTCAGAGCAGCAGCAGCGCCGGCGCGCGGGCAGCGAGATGCCGTACCGGAGGTTCGACTGGCCACGCCCCACCACGCCCCGCTACGCCACGCCTCGCCACACCCCACCTCGCCAGGGCTAACGTGTGCCGGGCAGGAGGACGGTTCCGAGCGGGGCTTCCGGGCCACGCTCGGCCGGGCGGCGCGCGGGGGCCCAGGCCCACCCAGGGGGGAGCGGCGCGGCGGAGAGCCTGTGTGCCTTACTCCAGTTATTCCAGTGATTCCAGACCAGCCGACCGACGACGGGTGGGCGGTGGGCGGACTTCCCCGTGCCTCGAGTGTTTTCCCTTGAAATGTTGTGTGCGGCTCGCAACCCATTTCCTCCCGACCGGGCCCTGCTATGAACGACTACCTAGCAAAGACTATATGTCCCATGGGGCTCACCAAGAACTTACAGGAGAATGAGGAGGGCGATGGGAAAACGACGATAATAAAGGCCCTTCAAAAAAAACCTTTTTTTAAAAAATAGAGAGTAACGCGGGGAGCGATCTAGGAGCAAGATGCGAACAAGTTGGGAGCAGTAGCAGCAGCAGCAGCAGCCGTGCCTTTACTCCACCACTATCAGGCTGTGCTCGGAGCTTGGAAAGGGGGGGGGGGAGCAGCGAAAAAGATTAAATTCCAGCGGGAAGGGCAGAGCATGGCGCAGGGCGGCCAATCAGTGTGGCGCGGGGCTGTGAAAGGCGGGCGGCCGAGCTGGGCGCGACTTCAACAACGGCGGCACCAGCAGCAGAGTGAACGCCGCGCACAGATTCATTCCGATGGTCTCGTTTCGATGGGGCGCTCATTGCTTAGCCCCATCCTTTCTCTCTGCTCGCTTGTACTTGTTTTTTTTTTCCTTTTTTTTTTCTCCCCCCTGAGGCTCGCGGTCGGTGATAATGGGCCCGGTCGCGCTGAGCAATGACGCCCCCGCAGCCGCGCCGCCGTGCGCCGCCGCGCTGCGGTGAAGAAATAAAGGCAACGGAATCAGTGGCGATGACTGTACCTGCAAATCGGTACCTCCGAAAAAAAAGATTCCCTCCAATAAGTTATCGGGATCATCGGAATCAGATATGAGGTCATCGCTATCGCTCAAAATTATTCACCCCAAAAAATGTGCTCTCAATTCAAAAACATCCCCCAAATTTTAATACAAATGTTCTTATTTTAACCCCTATTTACTCTTGAAACAAGTAAATAGAGATTAAAAGAATCCCTACTTGGCTTAAAATTTTGGGGATGTCCTTGAATTGAGAACACATTTTTTTGGGTGTTGGTTGTTTTGTAGGTTAGTGTTATTGTTAAAATTTCCATATCAATGTGCTAGAAAGATATAGACCAAAATCAAGGACACCAACTACGCCAGTAATTTAGATGGTAAAATTTTAAGGAAAGAAAAACGACTGCACGCTTCGGCTGATAATCAGAATCAGTCATAAACGATCGTGATGGGGATCGTTAATCGGGAAGCTGGGCCGGGGCCAGGTTTCGAGATTCCTCCTTGGGCAGGACGGGCGCTGCGTGTTGGGCCAGGACCAGGGAGGCTGCGCAGGGCCGGGCCGGGCTGGGCCGGGCCGCTCCCAGCCAGCTGATCTTGCCGCGCGCGCGCATGTCCTCCCCGCGACTGGACCGCCTTGGCCGGCCGGCCGCTCTGCTGCGGGGCGCGGCGGCGCGGGGCTCCGGGCGGCATCTCGTCGTACATCTTCCGGATCGCCCAGCCCGTCCAGTCCCGCGCGGTCGGCCACCGGGACAAGGACGCGGCAGGAGGAGGAGGCGGCGCGCAGCAGGGGTCACGACGGCGCAGAGGAGCGCTGTTTCCTAGTAAGGAGGATCATTTTAAACGCTGTGTGTGTTTCGTAAAAAATAAACACGCTCTAAAATGTGTATGGCTACGATAGTTGACAAAATTAAAGGAAATAAATTGTACAAAGAAAAAGTAAAGTTTGAAGGCGATTATAATTGAGGTCGATCGCAACCTTTTGGCTGTTCCGGCGAGATTAATGTGTTATTTTCGCCGCGTGCGTCATTCGCACTTCCCGTCGCGCGCTCGGCCCTGCCCCGCCCGCCTCACCGGGGTGACTGACTGGCTGCTTCTTAGCTCATCCCTGGCAGTCGCTGCTCTCTAGCGGGGCTGCGTGCTGCGGGCTCGCCCCAACCCACCTCGCCCCACCATGCCCCACCACCCCACGACCGATTGCGTGCCTTCCCATTCCTTTCAGCCTCTTTTTCGTTCGCTTGTTGTTTCTCTCCTTTCCGAATAAATCATCAAGGTTGAACGCCACAGCGGCGACGGTTCATTCATGAGCCC